AAAGAGAACAAAAGCAAAAGCAGTAGAAGCTGCCAGAGAGGCAGCATTAGACAGACCTTCATGAGAAATTAAATAGACAGTGATGTGTTATATTTTATATATACCAAGTCTCTGTTCTATTATATAATACTTCTACCAAAGATTATGTATTCATACCGTTATCTATTGTTAGTTATTTGTCAGTTCATGTTCCTCGCATTTGTTTTATTTTATTTTTTTAAGTTATAGCATTTTGTGGGGGGACGCAGAGAGCTCCTAAAAGGCAAAGAGATGAAGTAGACAGTGCGAGAGGTGGCCTGTTGAGCCTTTTTGCCATGATTGAAAGAGACAGTGAGCTCCAACATCTGTTGGTGGATTTGGGCTGAGCTCCTGTCTATTGGTGCGCCCCTGTGGAATAAGGGAAAGTAAAATGAACAAGCTGACCCATTTTCCCCCTTTCCTCCCGGTGCTCCTTCCCTCTCTTTTCTCTCTCCAGTCGCTCCCTCTCAATCCACTTACTTGATCTTTTGCTTGCGGCATGATGGACTAGGTTAACAGAAATGTTGATACTTTTGTGTGTGTCCATGTGTATTTGTCCAAAGTGTCCAAAGTATTTTGTTTGTTTGTCTCAGATCTGAATCTAGATTATTATTATGACATCATATCAGCTAGTGTACTGTATGTGTGTTGTTATATCCAACCTATAGTACAGTAACACACTACAGGCCAGTTTGCAGATTAAATGCCTTGCAAAGACACATTCTGGTCTTTTGTTTTACAGTGGTAATGGAATTAGAAAGGTGGGGCTAGTTATGGATGGGCCAACTAGCCCAAGATTGAGGGGGCCCCAAAGCACGAGACTCTGGCTGGTATCATATATAGTTTCCCTTTTAAAAGTCAAAAGTATGGATGTCCAGATCCATGTCCATTTTTGGCTCCTGATCCTTAATACATTTAGGGTTTTTTCCTACAAAGTACAACTTCACAATGCATATTTAATCTAGACTGGTCTACACTAGTCAGTCTTTGCGTCCTACTTTCCAGATAACAGGCACGAAGAGAGAATATTTAACACACACACACATCACACACAGCTTGGGGGTGTGCACCAGCGCAAACGGGAGATTAAATTTTTTACTGGCCACTGTAAAACTAAAGGCCAGAATATAAGAAATGTAATCTAATCTTACATACAAGGTATATACAGTATATTTCCTTAAAACTGGGACTTTTATCCATTTCACACACCTGTTTTCTTGAGGGGTCCAGCAGGTGTCAGGTGTATTGACAGGTGTTTTGCTGTAAGTACGTGTACGTGAACTCTCTACAGCGCTGACCCCTGGGCACATTACACACACACACACACACACACACACCTGGCAGGGCCAGGCCTGGCACGTAACGCTCCGCCCTCTTTGCTATAGTTTAAGGTGCAACAATGAGGAAGTTCCCGATTACAGCTTAAAAGAAGCATTTCTTACTCATGCCCAGTGTTTGCGTCATCGTTAAGAAATATGAGACCAAGAGTGCAGTGTCATGGCTGCAGGGAGTACCAGGACTTGTGTGTGTGTGTGTTTGTGTGTGTTTGAGTCAAGCAGAGAGAGCCTACTGCTCTGGGTATTGGTTTGGACCAAAGCCAAGCTTACAGGAAATGCCAACCAAGCACAAAGAGATGTTAAAACAACATGCACACACACACACACACACACACACAAGTACACTTTATTAAACAAACAGACCCAATCTGTGCCCAAGTGTGATCAAACCACAGAAAATATTCAAAATAAACTTCCAGCAGAAACTTTGATTCACTGGCTCATTCTCTGTTGTACATTGTAACGGCAGCAATGTTGGCTTCTCATCTTGTGTTAATCGAATCGATGGCAGACAGAATAACAGAAAATTATAGGGGCAAATGGATTAAGTATGGGTCTGGGAGACCGGGAAATGGCCTCTGACATAAGAATTGCTGCTTAAATAGCAAATCTTGAAATAGTAGTTGTACAAGAAGGACAAAAGCAGGGAGTGATGTTTCATCCCTTTTCACCCCTTTTCTTCCACTGATCTGACAGAGACTTGTGTGAGGATCAGTTTACACTGCTATGATTTATCTGAGCAGGACAGGATGTGGAGACCTTACGATCCCAGACCAGAGCACATGAACCATGTCATTTTCAGCAAAAGACATGTGACATTGTCAGGATTTGCAAAACTCTTTTTAAATGTTTTAAAGGTTGTCCTGAAGTAATGGATGAGTAGGGTGTAGCCTACTACATCACGTTGACAGATTTTCAGTCTGGCACAGTACATGTTCACAGAAAAGCCTAGCCAGGCATTTTAAGATCACTTGGTTTTTGCAATAACTATGTTATATCATGTCTTCACAGGCCTTTGACCGCTGTGACTTTAAAGGACTAGTTCACCCCAGCATAAAAAATGGCCAGGTGAAATGCCATTAAAGTTTATATACTGTAAAAAACCAAACACACAGCAGAATAGTGCTGCAGTTCCATCTCAACGTTCGCCCACACTATTAAAGTTAATGGAGCCATTTCTGTACATCTCCAAAAGAGCACAAAATGTCCATCAAGTTTGCAATTTGTGGTTGTTTGTGGAGCTGTGAAAAAGTGGTGCTGCTGTCTTGAATAGTGTGGGAGATGAGTGTGGTGACATTACATGAAGGAACACACTGCACAACTGTACAGAAGTACATATACAGTAAATATACCAGAACAGGCACATAATGAGCCCAGATATAATTTAGTTTAGTTTAGTTTAAAGGAATAGTACATCATTTTGGAAAATACACATATTCACTTTCTTGCCAAGATTTAGGTGAAAGAGACTGTCTCATGTATGTGCACTAAATATGAAGCAGCTGTTAAACTTAGCTTAGTATGAAAATCCAAAGGGAAACAGTTGACTATGTCCAAAAGTAACAACATCCTCCTGCAAGTTCCTCTAAAGCTCACTTATTAAACAAACGAGATATTGTATTAATTAGTGAGCTTTAGAGGTACTGATAAGAGGATTTTGTTACCCTTGGACAGAGTCAGGCTAGTTTAAATTCTTTACGCTAAGCTTAGCTAAACAGCTTCACATTTAGTGGGCAAATATAAAAGTGGTTTCAATCTTCTCCTCTAATTGTGGTGAACTAAACCTTTAAATGTCAGGAAGTAGGTCCTTACTCAGTAACGTGTCAAAGTCTATTTTATGTGTACAACTACTTGATGTTATCTTGTTAAATCAATTTACACAGTTATAGCATGATATTAACAAAGAAGAATATAGTATCTCAGAATTGTACTGCTATGCTGCCAGTTTTGTACAAAATGACTGAACGCTACACTGAAAACTGCTTCAAATATGCCATTTCTAAGAGACTGAGTGAGTCCCAACCAACCAGAAACCATTGTGGTCCAACTTTAAGTCGCTCATTGCATGTGTTATTTTAAATATGGCTATAAAGGAAGTCTGGAGCGCTGCAAGTGCTTAAAAGCTTCCCGCGAAGTGCATAGCCATCCGTCAACATTGAAGAGCATGAAGAATGAACATCAATAAATCAAATGTCTCTGTGAAGTGAAATACACATTTCGCACACAGCTAAGAATTCATTTTGAATAATTATGAAAGGTCCTTGTATCATCACTGGGAACTGGATTTTATTGGTGTGTTTGATTGTCAGAGAGAATAAGATGACACTGTTTTTTTTTTGTTCACATGTGTTTAGACATTCTTTTTAACCCATTTTCAGTTCTGCTGATGTGAAGGAAATCCCATTAGTTGGTAATCGGGAAACAGCAACAGACAGTTAATGTATACCCATTTTCAGTCATGAGTCTAATGGATTTGTCCCATTCCAGCAGGACCATTGGTATTTAATCATAGTCAAAGGGATAGTAAGTGATTGTAATCCGGTGTACATCTTGTTAAATTCAGAGAATACTGTATATCCTCACGGTTTGCTTGCATTCAGTTTTTTGAAAAAAATTCTGGTTTTCCTACACAGCCCTGGCTCTGTAAATGGAAAACAAAGAAAGTGGTGTGGACCTTTGCATACAACATTATTCCCGCCAATCAGCAACAAGTAGTGCTTGTGCACAGGACTGATGGAGGGCAGGTGGCTCTATACACGGGCACATTCAAATGTTCTGGACTCCAGGCACTGTAAGGATGAGAGATGGTCGAGGAACAGCCAAAGAGGACATGTTTTAAGAGTGTAAACACAGAAGAAATTTGTACAACCAGTCAAGGGCGAAGGCGTTTCAACACTGGAGAAACCTCAGAGATTTGAAATTTGGGGGACAGAGCTTCTAAGGGGGCACTGAAGTGAGGGGTGTATTTGGTTGGCACTTGTGTTCAAATATCAACAATCCTTATGCAGAGTCACGTACTCTTCCTTTGATACATTATGGATGTGTCTCAGCACCAGTAAAAGTCAAAATCTTGAACTGTGAGAAGTGTGATTTTGATTGCTTTGTCCAAGTCCACTTATTTTTGCACTTGTAACTTTATGGACCCCAAAAACCCAGAAGCGGGCACAGAGGTGGGCAGAGTGGCACAGCTAAGGTCATGTTTATGCAGATCAGACTGCACAGTCATTTCCACCTGCTCAGAGCACCTCTTATCGCAGGTGCACAGAAAACATTTCCCAAACAGCATCCCTTAGACAACATGTTTTCTTTTAGGAGAAGCCAGCCCGAACTGCCCATTATTTAAGACTGCCCTAAGCCTTCACCTGCTGATGAAGTATTCCTCCTTGAGATACTAGCAATGTACTCATCCTATGCTGCTCAGTGCCAGGAGAGTGCTTGTTTTACCAATATTGTCACAAAACGGTGAGCCACGCTCATATGTGTTTGCACGGTGAGATTGCAGCTGCATATGTGCTCAGTTTCACAAAAGTAAAGCTAGTTCATGATTAGTGATACAATATTAACCTCTGTGTGTGTGTGTGTGTGTGTGTGTGTGTGTGTGTGTGTGTGTGTGTGTGTGTGTGTGTGTGTGTGTGTGTGTTGTAGGAGTTTGCCACCCTGACGAAGGAGCTGAACATATGCCGGGAGCAGCTGCTGGAGAAAGAGGAGGAAATATCTGAGCTGAAAGCTGAAAGGAACAACACCAGGGTACGTGTGTGTGTGTGTGTGTGTGTGTGTGTGTCTGTCTGTCTGTCTGTCTGTCTGTCTGTCTGTCTGTCTGTCTGTCTGAGTGCATTTGCATAGTAAGTGCAAGTGTGTGGTGATGCTGATGAAAACAAACAATGTTTCTAAGCTTTAAATTAGTATTCTCTTTGGTCATGCGTGTATTCACGTGTGTGTGTGTGTGTGTGTGTATTTGTGTCTGTGTGTGTGCGGTAGCTGCTGTTGGAGCACCTGGAGTGTCTGGTGTCTCGTCACGAACGCAGTCTGAGAATGACAGTGGTGAAGAGGCAGGCACCTCCTCCATCTGGAGTCTCCAGCGAGGTGGAGGTCCTCAAAGCCCTGAAGTCGCTGTTTGAACACCACAAGGCTCTTGATGAAAAGGTGGACACACACACACACACACGCATACATACAGTAGAAGTGCTGCTGTCTGTTGTAACAAATAAGTTCAGGGGAAACATTTTCCTCAGGACATGGTATTACCTTTAGTGCTGCTGTATACGCCATTTTAACAGAATCGCTGTCCTCCCTCACAAATGTATTATGATCATTTCGGTTTTGCTGGTTGTTTTCACATTGTTAAGTTAATGAACCTCAGCACTTACTGAGTTTTAGAGTAAACGTACTCCACTGAAGACATTGTTGTGAAAAAACTTTTAGTCTTGAGAAATTCCTGTTCATTTGAGGTAAATAAAGGGCCCCAGCCACTATTTGAGACATTATAGTGCAAAATACTATGTGTTCTATATTAGCTACATCAATTTATAACATGAATTATGAGACGAAATAATGATTTACAGATTTACAGTTTTTTTCAATTGCTTACCTGTGTTGGTCAAAACTGAAGTCACATTGTCAAAACTCTTCACACAGTTAGCGCAACAGAAGTGTATGTGGACCAAACTGTGAATCATTTTTCATTGCTTTCACACAAAATGCATTCAATAACCCGTTTCTCCAAAATTCATGAACTCTTTTCTCATTACTACTTCACCACCTGCAAAACACTGTTTATCTGCAGCACATTTTTTAAATGCTAACACACTGTGTCCAAAACTGTTAAAAACACATTCAAAACTGATGGTAAATGTACTGCATTTCTGCAGTGACCAGATTGAAATAAGTAGAAAATCTTAGAAGGCAGGCAATATCACTTTTGGAAATGTGAATTCCGTCAGCACAACGACAATTGCCAGAGTCCTGGAGAAACATAAAATAAGGATGAAGCAGTTGTACACTGTACCATTCGAGAGAAACTGTGAACATGTGAAAGAACTCCGTTATCAATATGTCCAGGTAAGATGTCTGTTCAATAATCAATCGGGGAACATACACAGTGATGCATAATGTGAAGTCCTGTAAAACTGTGTATTTGGAGCTGGAAGCCAGGGAAACTGCACATACATTCATCTTTGTGAATGAAGCTGGATTCAACCTGGCAAAAACACGCCGCAGGGGAAGAAATGTGATTGGACAGAGCGCAACCGTGGATGTCCCAGGGCAGAGAGGAGCTAACATCACATTGTTGGAAGCACTGTCCAATGATGGTTTGCTGTTACACAAACCACTCATTGGCCCCTACAATACAAAGAGGCTCATGTCTTTCCTGGATGACCTGCATAATCGCCTTGCGCCAGCGGAGAGAGGAGCAAGAAACTCCCCTATCTTTGTTGTTGTGTGGGATAATGTGGCATTCCACCACTCTGCTGCAGTTACAGACTGATTTGCTGCACATCCCAGCATGTCAGTACTGTTCCCGCTTCCATACTCCCCCTTCCTAAACCCCATAGAGGAGTTTTTCTCTGCATGGAGGTGGAAGGTGTATGACCACCATCCACATGACCAGATGACCTTACTGGATGCCATGAATGCGGGATGTGGAGATACTTCTCCTGAAGACTGCCAGGGTTGGATTAGACATTCCAGAAGGGGGGGGGTTGTTTCAACTTACAGTAAAACTTTTCACAGTTTACAATACTATCCACAGATATAGAACAAATAAACGATAGTAAAGCAAATTGCTGCATTTCTGATGCATTCTTGTTACATATGCTTTAGTACCGTCAATGTGAAAATATGTTATTGTTATTGTATAATGAAAACCTAATTTATTTTATTTTATTTTTTTGAAGGTCAGTGTGTTATGAGTGAGATTGTGTGCTTTCTGAGTGAGAATTGTTGCCAGTGTTTTGATTGAACGGGCTTATTTTGAGACTTGTATGAAGTGTTTTGAGGGTTTGAATGACTTTTAAAGGGTAGATTAACTGTTTGGCCAAGATGTATGTTGGTAATGCAGACTGTGTGAAGAGTTTTGAAAAGGTGGCTTCAAATTTGACCATTGCATCTTAGCAATTGTAAAAAACTGTAACTATGTAAACGACTGAAAAAAGGTGTATTGCAGCACTGAAATGTCAGGAACTTCTTTTTTAGTAAAGTAAATTATTGAATGCATTTCTGATTCATTCTTGTAACATATACTATAGTACAGTCAATAAAGTGAAAATATGTTACAGATTTTTTCTCAGTCGCTTTGGTACATTTGCAAAACTATTTGTATTGGTAAAATATGGCTAAACTCTGATGACAATGATTGAAAATGCACAAGGCTGTACTTTTTCTGTATGGCATAGATCAATTTCAACTGTACAGAGTTACAGTAAAAAAGAGATTGGACCGGATTCACAGTTACACAACAAAGAACTAGTATACTGTAATACATTGTGATCAACATGACATACAGTAAGCATGTAGGAAACAGCAGACAAATGTACATAATAATTTGCATAAATGTGTCAAAGCATGTGCAATATGCAATTTCTCAGAAGAATGAGAAATTGCTTTTACATATGATGTGCACAAGCGACTAGATGATGTGGAGGCTGAACAAGTAGAATTTCAATTCTGATCTGAGAAATGTATCAAAGTGACTGAAAACAACTGTATTCTATAATGAAATACTGATTTATATGAAAATATCAGTACAAATAACAAATGTACGTAATGCTTCCTGTTGTTAGTGTTTTGTCAGTCAGTGTGTTATGAGTGACAATGTATGTTTCCTGAGTGGGTATTTTGGCTGAACGAGTTTATTTTGAGGCTTATATGAAGTGTTTTGGTGGTTTGTGTGACTTTTGGAGGTGAGATTAACTGTTTGGCCAGGATGCATGTTGGTAATGCAGTCTGTGTGAAGAATTTTGAAAAAGTGGCTTCAGTTTTGACCATCTTAGCAATTGAAAAAAACTGTAAGTTCACTGTGTTTCTAAATTATATCTATCCATACTCGAGTCCAGGAATGTGCTTCTACATAAGTGTGTCCTCATGTTTCTGGACTTTGTCTTGATGTGTGTGTTGTTGGTGTGTTTGTCAGGTACGTGAGAGGCTTCGGGTGGCTCTGGAGAGGGTGGCCACCCTGGAGGGACAACTAGCAAATACCACACAAGAGGTGAGGCGTGTGTGTGTGCGTGTGCGTGCGGGTGCGGGTGCGTGTGCGTGTGCGTGTGCGTGTGCGTGTGCGTGTGTGTGTGTGTGTGTGTGTGTCTGCATGTGGGTGTCTGCGTGTGTGTGTGTGTGTTCCTATGTGTGGTTATTTGTAAGTGAAACATCTGTCCGGTCCCTAGCAGACATCTGTTGAAGCCTCCAGTCTGATCAGATATATGCTTCAAGTGCCACTCTGGATGAGAGGCTCTGTCTTCTCTGCCCTTTGTTCATACACACACACACACAAACACAAACACACATGGACAGACACACAACAAAATGTGCCTTCTGTACTAATCCATTTAAAATGTCATTAAAGAAATCATTCTTAAGATAAAAGTATGTTAAATACTCACAGCAGGCTCAGTGGGAGCAGAATCCCAGCGGGTTATATAACATTTAAAGTCAAGGCTTGTTAAGTTGCACTGATCATACAGTTTTATAAGAGGAGAAGGCTCTCTCTGAAGCAACCCCTCCCTTCTCTTTTCTCAGTATAATTTATATTTGTAGTTATGTAAAATATAGAGAGCATATTGTCTGGCAGCCTGAGAGCCAGGGCTTCCCTTTGAAAGAGTTTTGTTCCTGGATTCACTGAGGGACAAGAAAAGACAGTAAATGTGCAAGTCTGTGCATTGTTCATTTTTTGTTTTTGTTTTTAATCTACATTGCAGTTGAACATTGTGAGACAAAGGAAGGACGGTGACTCAGTGGAGCGAACAGATGGATCCAAACCTACATGGAAGGTCTTCCTGGCTGTGTGATTGTTTTTCTGCTCTGTGCTTTATGCTATGTCTGTCTATAGTATTTGTTTGTATGGCTGTCGACCGTCTTTGTATGTACACACACACACACACACACACATACATACATACACATGACAGATTAATGGAGCTAAATGTAGCATAAATCCTTCTCCTTTACCTTTCTGATAATTCTGATAACAACCCTGAAAGGAGCACACATTATGTAACTGTGTCTGGGTCTGTCCACGGGGAGTAACAAACCTCCCAGCGATTAAACAGCGGAGCCTGTTTGTATCTGGATGGAAATCTCCTAACTCTGTACGATCGAGCAGTACGACGTCCACTTACTTTGGCTCCTATTTCTTTGGCATGGAGAAAAGCAACAACAACAAAAAAAAGTGTCAATATACATAATTAAACTTGCAACATCAATAACTTACCATTAAGAAGGGAGGAGAGAAAGAAGAAGACAATATAAAGAGGGAATTGGTACAAGCACTGGGAGTGTAGGGTGTAGTTTAGATGTCTCAGAGTACGAACTGTGCAAACACACACTTTGTTAGGACATTTATCTATGACACCTGCTGCCTTCCTGACAGTCAGTGCCCCCGGATGTTGCAACCAGCACCCTTCAAAACACCAAAAAGTGATCATGACCACATGTATTTTCTCAGCAGGAACCCTAACTATCACAAAACCGCGTCATACCCAATGATTGCTACGCATTGTCATTCAGATGAGGCTGTACAATGCTATTTCCAAAGTCCCTTGGAGTAAATCATATCAGTTATTGTGGCTAAATTGGAATTATGCAAAATTGCACAATTCACCAGGTGTGTTTTATTACACAGCTTCAAACCATTTAGCCCTATTTCCCCCAGTGTTTCATGGTATGTTTATGTTTCTGTAAGGTACTCATGAGCAGGCAAAATTGGAACATGAGGGAACGGAGGAGGTCCTCCTAACTTTGGATGCCCACTGTGTTCCCTGTGTTAATATGTGTCCCCAAAGGTTTGTTTAATTAAGGCCCTGGAATTAACTGCATTTTGAGAAGAGAAGCGAAACAACATCAAAACAACAACGTGGCAGCCTAACCTCACACAACCCACCCTCGTATGCATAACACTCAACACTTTCTTATCTAGGCCATGCAACTTTATCAGTTCTACAACAACACTCAATACCCTCCACCCATAGCATGCACATTTGTATGTGTCTCAGTACTAAAATCCATTTTATGTGAAAATGTGTATATATATCCATTTATGTTGTGTATCTGCCTTACAGAGACTGCCCAACGGCTCCATAGACGCCCACGATGAAGGCAACCGGGCGTCGGAGCTTCAGGAGCTGCTGGATCGGACCAATAAGGAGCTGGCCCAGAGCCGCGAGCACTCTACCACTCTCAGCGCCCGTTTGGCCGAGCTCGAGGCCGAGCTCGCAAATGCACGTCGAGAACTGAGCCGAAGCGAGGAGCTGTCACTCAAACAACAGAGGGAACAGAGAGAGGTGAGAGTAAAAAGGAAATGTGCCTTTGTTCTGGGAGCGGGCACAGAGAACAGCTTGCTACAAAAACTAATACAATTTAACATTCTGCTGGCTACTAGCTTCGGATACTAGATTTTATTTAGAGCAAAACATTTGAAAAGGGGTTTCATGATGCACAGTCAGCCAACTTTTTTTCAGTCTGTTTATTATAACTGGAGTTTACTGGTTGTCTTGTATACCAGTATTATCAGTTAGTACAGTACATTACACAATGACACAGATATGTGTAAGCAGCAACCACATGATCTTCTAACAAAGCTAATTTATTGATTTCTTCAATTCTGTGCTTTAGTTGCACATTTTGCTCCCTCTTTATTTACTTTAACTAACATACATTTTTCCATAGTCTGTCAATATAAGATGGCAACATACATACATTTCTTGTATACTAACTGTTTGTTAGATAATTAATATTAAATCATAAAATGGGAGTATTTGGCCATAAATGTAGAGATACAGTACATTGGTTATTGCTTTTTGGCGTCACTATACTCATTATTGCAGGCGCTTCTCATGATTTCCCTGTTGTTGTTTTTTGTTGTTGTTGTTGTTGTTGTGTCTCTGCACCCACAGAGGGAGGATATGGAAGAGAGAATAACAACATTAGAGAAGCGCTACCTGGCTGCTCAGCGGGAGACCACACACATCCACGACCTCAACGACAAACTGGAGAATGAACTGGCCACCAAGGACTCACTGCACCGACAGGTAACATAAACACACCAATTCTAGCCTCACAGGCTTGTGCATAATGAATAGATAATTATCATTCAAAATAGCAAATAGTCACTCAGAGATAACTGTAGAAAATTAGTCAACTTGAAATGGATGATAGCTGCCGCACTTCTCAGTTACCTTTAACTGAGCAAAACAATTCCACAGGTACATCATTGAGATTTAAGCACAGTGTCCGAACTAAATCAATATTTATTAATGTTCTGTGTCATTATTCTGCTGTGCTCAGGCTTCCTTGGATGTTGCAATCCTAATGTGTCGTTAAGTGACACCAAAAATGGCACATTTGTCTTTGTGACAAACGTCTGTGTGCGCTCTCGTTCCCTCTTGCATTATAATATTTCATGCCTCCATGTCACATGTCAAAATCAATTGAGTTTTTCCAAAGTGGGGCAATATATTGAGGAATATTATAGAATATTAATGTATTAAGGCATTGGAGAATATTATAGTAAGCGAGTGAGTAACATCCTACTCAAAGGTTCATGTGTAGTTCAGGGTGAATCAGAGTTCAGCGCCACTATGGGGAATACCAGCAACAGCCTCTATTCGCGTCCCCATGTCGTGTCCTTGCTACCCGCTGGCTGCACTACACTGATTACACCTCTCTTGTGATCGCGGCAATGTCCCTCTTATTACTTTGCATGTGTTCCTGTGTGTCAGAGCGAGGAGAAGGTGCGCCAGCTGCAGGAGATGCTGGAGATGGCGGAGCAGAGGCTGGCTCAGACCATGAGGAAGGCCGAGACACTGCCAGAGGTGGAAGCTGAACTGGCACAGAGAGTGGCTGCACTTTCCAAGGTAACACACACGCACACTAACCCACACACCCCTGTAGAAAACATAGCAAAGGATCCTGATGCAAATGAGAATCAGTGATTTACAGGTACAAAACACAGAATCAGATATACATACAAACACAGTTATAGTTTATAGATAGAGGCTGTTGTACTCATATGTAAGTGTCTCCCCCTGCAGGCTGAGGAGCGACATGGCAACGTGGAAGAGCGGCTCAGACAGCTGGAGTCACAACTGGAGGAGAAGAACCAAGAGCTAGGAAGGGTGTGTGTGCATGTGTGTGTGTGCATGTGTGTGTGTGTGTGTGTGTGTGTGTGTGTGTGTGTGTGTGTGTGTGTGTGCAACCGCCCTGCAGGGTTTCTCTGACCTCTCACTATGTTTTGTGTTTGTGTGTGTGTGTGAGTGTATGTGTGTTTGTGTGTGTGTGTGTGTGTGTGTGTGTGTGTGTGGGCCGATGCCTCACATTAGTTGGGCGCCTTGACTCTTGGTTCTGTGCTCCCTCATGCATACATACACAAACACACAGGACAGACACACATATGAAGAACCCTCCATTTTCCTGGTGCATTGTTGCATGAATTTAAACCAAATCCACATATCCTGCTGCAACCGCCCCCCACCCCCTATAATACTGATTGGCTGCTATCTTTAGACTCTGAATAATTCACGCAAGGCTAATTTCTCTCTCTCTCTGTGCAATGTCATGACTATATTTAGTTAAAGGAGCTCTCTGAGGGTGCAGATTTGTGTTTGTATGTGTGTTAATTTACTTTAATGAAATTACTGTAGAATACATATTAAGCACAGCACCTCCCATGTAAGAGAAATGATTTAACCCTTTTTCATCATCACTTAAATTACTGTAATTAAATCATTCTGGCTGCGGGATCCATTGTTGGCCAAGAAGACCTATATCTGGCAGCTGGTGATCTTGGGCTAAATACACACTTCATCCTTTAATCCATGCAGAGAGGCTTGATTAGCTGCATAAATACACCCAAATGGAGTTATTCAACACCCCCCCGTCTGGTTCTCTCATCAGGCTCGTCAGAGAGAGAAAATGAATGAGGAGCACAACAAGCGTTTGTCTGACACCGTGGATCGTCTGCTCACCGAGTCCAATGAAAGACTGCAGCTCCATTTGAAAGAACGCATGGCTGCCCTGGAAGACAAGGCAAGGCCTGTACACACACATTCGTCTTCGCAGCAGCTCATATTGCTGATGTTACTGCTTCACAGAACAAATGAAAATACAGCGTAGCACATGTTCTAGTTGGACCAGACATTTGTTTTGACACGGTGACACGCTCATGCCTTTTTTGTCTAGAACTCCCTTATTCAGGACCTCGAGAACTGCCAGAAACAGCTTGAAGAATTCCACCATACCAGGGTCAGTGAGACATGAATGAATCACCTAACCACTGAATACTACTCATATGCCCCATATCAGTAGTCAAGTGCTCAAGTGCTGTACATAAATACCGTTTTGTGGTATATTTTTTCTCCAGAGGGAGGGAAATATTCTTCTTTTTTCTCCATTTGATTTAATGGACAACTGTAGTTAGTTGTGCAGATTAAGATGAATTTGTAAAATACAAGGCATGATTATAGATTAAGCTACCAAACAGTATACACATTGAATAGCTGAAGCTTTTCTTGGATAATGACTACTTTCTGATTACAATTTAGTATTTTTACTTGAGTAAAATTTTGAATGCTGAACTTTTACTTGTACTCCTTACTTTTACTTGTAATGGAGTAGTTTTATAGTATAGGTATTGCTACTTTTACTTAAGCAAACAATCTGAATACACCGCCCATATTGCCAATCTGTCCCTCAGGAACGGCTGATCGGAGAGATTGAGAAGTTGAGAAATGAGATTGACCATTTGAAACGCCGCAGCGGGGTGTTTGGCGATGGAACCCACCCTCGGTACACACGGACATACACCTCCTCCGCACATGCTCTCTCACACACACATCCTCTAATATATAGTGCTACTACTATACTATACTATTATTAATAGTAAACTGTTTTCTGTATGTAATCTCAGGTCTCACCTGGGTAGCTCCAGCGACCTTCGCTTCTCCGTGGTGGAGGGCCAAGACGGCCACTACAGCACAACTGTGATCAGGCGGGCACAGAAGGGCAGACTGTCTGCGCTTCGGGACGACCCAAACAAGGTGCTAATAATCGGACCAGAACAACCCCACAGCTCCTCACATACACATACACTAAACAGGATGGCCAACTTACAAGATCATGTGTCAGCTGCTGTTCTAACCACATACAGCTCCTTACTAGTGCTTTATCCAAGTTCATGTCTGCTTTGCTAATAAGTGTCAGTGCCTGGCTGATGTATGATGATCTTCATATCTAACTTACCATTCTCTACTAACCTCTCTGTCTCTCTGTCACCTGCTGCCATGGACATGCTGTCTGATGTAAGTTCCCTGATCATCCATTTCTTCTCATAACTGGCCACATACTTCCACAAGTGTCATACTGTATTTTTACCTGTGTAAAATCTTAATTAATGCATGTGGCACATTCTTCTAGTACATTTATTAATGATCAAAAACTGATTAGTGTACATGTTGTATTCAACACATGGACTGTGTCTACACATGTTGAAGCTCATGTGTGTTTGTTGTCTCCAGGTGTGCGCGGTCTTTGAACAGGACTATCCATCTCTGCGTGGGAGCGTCAGCCATCTCCTCGGCAGCGACATCGAGGCAGAGTCAGACCTGGATGATGACGTTAGCTCGACCCTGCTTTCCCCCAGCGGCCAATCAGATGCTCAGACTCTCGCTCTCATGCTGCAGGAGCAGCTTGACGCTATCAATGAAGAGATAAGGTGCCAAATCACAGGCCCATTAGATAGCAGAACATGACACTTTCATGATCCCCATGGGGAAATTGGGTCAGTGCAGCAGGATACAGATAAGAGGAAGAACAAAGTATTAAAGATAATGCAACAAATAATTGCAAGAAAAGGGGATATTTTGAAGATACTACAGCAAATAAAGGTGGTGCTGTGCTGCTGCTGCTGCTGCTGCTGCTTCGTCTTGTTAATGCAATTCATGAAGGCCTGTGGCCAGACTGGATGCACTAGAATTGATTGTGATGAGATAGAGAGATGATAACATGTAGATAAGACTCTTCACTCGTCAGTTCTGTTTCCTACTGGAAGAGGACGCTGTTTATTGCAGTTTACAGTAAACAAGGATCTCCTGTGACACCTCAGAATATGCTTCTGGAGAGGAGATGCAAAATAGATGCTGATTATGCTGCAGAGGAGCCAGACTCCCTTGAAGTAATAGAAATAATGTCCCATGCTATAAATGGTATTTTAATAATCCAATATTTGCCAGGATCTTTGCATTGTTACATTTTTATACAAGTAATTTTATATTTACATATATTTTTTATGAAGGATTATGCTGAATTTAATTCATTATCACAGGAATACAAGGCGTGTATTGTTAATGAATGGATTCAAAGATAACTATGTATGAGTGCCTGTTTGTGTGTGTGTGTGTGTGTGTGTGTGTGTGTGTGTGTGTGTGTGTGCAGGATGATCCAGGTGGAGAGGGAGTCAGCAGACCTCCGCTCTGATGAGATTGAATCTCGCGTGAACAGCGGCAGCATGGACGGACTCAATGTGACACTTCGACCCCGGGCCCTACCCACCTCCGCCACTGCCCAGTCCCTGGCGTCATCCTCCTCCCCGCCCACCAGTGGCCACTCCACACCCAAACACCACTCACGCAATGCCAGCCACCATCTAGGCATCATGACTCTGGTCAGAGGGCACACACACTCTATCTGTCATACACACACAAACAGCAGTATATTCGTTGTTAAAAGCCATATCTGTAACTGTGTGTCGTTTTGTTTGATAGCCAAGCGACTTGAGGAAACACCGCAGGAAAGTAGCAGTAAGTTTGAACGAAAACTGAAATTGTACGGCTTTTATGTCCATGTGTGGCTTTCGTAACTGAGCTGAGTTGCTTTTGTGACTTCTTCTAGTCTCCTGTGGAAGTGGACAAAGCTACTATCAAGTGTGAGACATCGCCTCCCTCGTCCCCCCGCAGTTTACGGCTGGAAACCAATTTTGCCCAGTTCACGGGCAGTCTAGAGGATGGCCGAGGGTAAACACACACACACACATAAATACACAAGTAGCACAGGATGATACATTGACATCAGTACAGACTCGCTGTTGGATTGTTTTACAGGTCCACTTCAACTTCAAGTTTTAGAGATGCCTAACATGGTAAAAATTGAAGTAGCTGGAACAAGATCTTATAGCGGACAATATTTATCATACCACAGATTTTAGTCTAACATCGTTTGCTCTGTTTTAACTGTTTGCAGTAAGCAGAAGAAAGGCATCAAATCATCCATTGGCCGATTGTTTGGGAAGAAGGAGAAGGGTCGAATGGAGCAGACTGTTGGCAGGGATGGACAGCCCCTACCAGCCTTAACAGGTACACTGTTGACTACATACCATATCCCACACTGATGCAGATTGAATGAGATTGTCTGTGATTTACAGAGACGTAAATAAAGATGCTGTATTTCAGACTTTGAGATGGGCATTGGTGACACAATGACTCTTGGAAAACTGGGCACACAGGCTGAGAGGGACCGCAGGATGAAGAAAAAGTAAAAGCATCCTTTCTTTCTCTCTGACTTGTGACTGTGTTTTTTCCTATTTTGCTTGTTGTTTTAAAGTATTCACTAAGCCTTTTCCCCGATAATTCTCACTTCCTTCTGTCTTTCTTTGGCAATTTTTAATTCCCTTGTTAGACACGAGCTTCTAGAAGACGCCAGGAAAAGAGGCCTGGCATTTGCCCAGTGGGACGGCCCTACTGTCGTCTCCTGGCTAGAGGTACTCCTCTAATCTACTTTTATATCTACCCACCATAAATGTTCACAAAACCTCCCTCTATCCAGGCTGCTACTACATCTAATACAAAACAGAATACAGTGATATCAAATACAAGACAGATCATTACAGGCTGATATCCACTCCGTTCCCCTTTCTATCTGACCTTATATGGCGACAATAGTGGTGACGTTGAATATCTTGATGACTCTCACCAGCTGTGGGTGGGTATGCCGGCGTGGTATGTGGCAGCATGTCGTGCCAACGTGAAGAGCGGAGCCATCATGTCAGCTCTGTCAGACACAGAGATCCAGCGGGAGATTGGCATCAGCAACCCTCTACACCGACTCAAACTCCGCTTGGCCATCCAGGAGATGGTCTCCCTCACCAGCCCGTCTGCACCACTTACCTCCAGAACGGTAAAATAATACAAGAAATACACCTCCGTGATTACTCATACACGGCTGTCTTCGTGCATGTAAATGTGCATACACAAATAATAAATAAATAAATGAGCTTACACAAAGTGTAATCCAGGATTGGGAATATAAACACATTACCCTACACAGAACACTCAAAACCTCCTCCACTATTGGGCTTAACCTTCACTCTGCACCTTGGGGTGATGACTCCTCACTCTTTTTTACTTTTTTTATTCTTCTCTCAGTTTATGCCTTCAGACTGAGGTTGCATGGGTTTCTGTGGGAAAACGACACGCAAATAGTGCTAGATATAGCTACAAGCTACCTGCCTGAAATACACTCCCTCCCTTGGCTTCACTCAACACAGTGTTTGTCTGTGTGCGTGTGTGTGGGTGTGTGTGCGTGTTTGTCTGCGTCTGTGTGCCTGTGGGGGTTGGGATGTGTGAAAATATACACATGAGTGCATTCTTGGGTGTGTTTTGGGGTGTGTATGCGTGCTTGTGTGTTTGGGTGTGTGTGTGTGTGTATGTGTGTGTTTGGGTGTGTTTTTGTCCTCTGAGCAGTCCTCCGGAAATGTGTGGGTGACTCATGAAGAGATGGAGAACCTGGCTTCCTCCACTAAAGCGGTCAGTACCATATGGGTGCTCCCTTTCCTTTTTCCCCCACCAAACACTCTCTCTCACTCCCACTGTCCTCACTGTGACACGCATATGTCATCTCCCTGAAGACCCCTTTAAATAACCACAACATCACACACCAACGCATCTTTGTACTTGTGCTCATATTTGTATGTGGGTGACGGATATAACTGATACAACCTGTGGTCATGTGGTCCATATCTGTTGGAGCTGTGCAATTGCAGTTAACTGATTGAAGATTGAAGGTTAATTGCAGAGTAAAAACTCAAAAGAGCAGTGAGTGTGTGTGTGTTTCTGAATGTGCAATATGTTTGTCTTTGGTTATCCCATGTCTCTCTAAGCTTGTATATTGTCTCTACCATGCTGCCAGGAGAATGAGGAGGGAAGCTGGGCACAGGTGAGGTTGCCAATCTGCTAACATCTGTCTGCACACACCGAAACTGTACCCACGCTCTTCACTAACACAAAGACACATTCATGAATTTGAGAGCAGCCAATTCACCCTCAATAGTATGTTCTGTATACAGTAATTAGGTAAATTCAAATAAAACTGAAACTATCTGTGTGGCTCGATAGCAGTAAGGGTGAGTTGAAAAATATGCATTTTTGTAATTTAATCAAGATTTTGTTTGCATTTGTGTTACATAGTCATGGTCCATCCACACAGGTGTTTTCACTTCAGGACTTCCAGACTGTGTGAGTGTCTACAGATTCTGCTTGATTGACATGTTTCTACTGTCCTGCTAGTGTTGTTGCATCTGTTGGGTCATTTTAAAAGGCCTTTTTTTACTGCAGACATTTTGTCATCCACCCTGAAACAGAAGCAGCTGAATGGAATTCAGCCATCGTTGATTTTATTATTTACACCTGTGTTTTTCCTGTTGTGACATGGCTAAATGTCGTCTGTGAAAAAAGGCCTATTCGGACATGGACATTGGTGACCTCATGTAATTCCCAGCGTAATTCTGCCCAACATCAATCTGAGCCAAGGTCTAATCAGAGAGAATGACTGAAAACACCTGTGTGGCTGTACAAGGCATTTAAAATGATGAGGTGCTCAAAATTTTACTTTCCTGTACAGTACAGATTTATCTTAAAATACAGAGGAAAAAAACAGAAACGTGTTCCAGGTTTTCAGATATACAAATTAAAAAAATAGAATAATATTTTTTATGTTTTTCACAGCACATATTTTGCCTTGTCTTAGCATGGAAAGCACAAATAATGTTGATGATGGTGCAGTTTCATTTAAGTGTCCCAGTAAGTAATGACAGTGACCCGGCATGCACAATACTAGGGTGCTGGACCCGGTACATCTAAATACAATGCAGCCATTTTTTAACATTATTAGTAAAACCTGTGCTTTTGCTGATGCGACATGTCAAGATGTCTGCTGTGAAAAGCGCCTGTTTTGGACCCAGAGTGCAATCTCCTCCAAACACCTTTATTACTCAATGTATATGCAAGAAATTTTGGGATCATTTAGTTTCTTTTGTTATACAAAATGACAGAAATTTCACTTGTTTTACCACCTGAGTAGCTTTTGGCATATTGTTTAGCACATACAACAGTCCCACATCCATGTCAAATGTACAGTATATAATCCTGAAACAGTAGGCAGCCTCTCTCTTTTTCTGTTGCACACGTTAAGAACAGTATTCCTCCTCTCCCTGTAGACTCTGGCATATGGCGACATGAATCATGAGTGGATAGGGAACGAGTGGCTGCCCAGCCTCGGTCTGCCTCAGTACCGCTCATACTTTATGGAGTGTCTGGTGGACGCACGCATGCTGGACCACCTGACCAAAAAGGACCTGAGGAGCCACCTCAAGATGGTGGACAGCTTCCATAGGTCTGTTGCTGGGGTGTTTAGCTTAGCTTGCTGTTTGATCAGCCTCGCCTTTCTTCTGTTAGCTGGATACATCAGCATTGGAGAAGAGAAGGCTAATGATGCATGTGTGTTTGTGCTTTTCTGTGTGTGTGTGTGAGTGTATGTTTTTCTATGTTTGTTTGTGTGTACCAGGGCTAGTCTGCAGTATGGGATTATGTGCTTGAAGAGGCTCAATTATGACAGGAAAGACCTGGAGCGCCGGAGAGAGGACAGCCAACACGACATGAAAGGTTCACTTTACACACACCCTGATACACTCACACAGTGAGAAAAAAAATCAAGCACACACACATACACACGTTCAAACACTAGTTCACAGGCGTGCACACATGCACAGTATTATCAGGCCAGAGTACCACCTAGTGGTTTTTGCCTGATATTGTCACTTTGGCCTGAGCAGTGAAACAGCTGCATGTTAGACTGTAAAAAAGCCGAGCGAAGCAGGCCTGCAATCTTGTGATCCAAAGCTGCACATACCAAGAGTAGTCCACACACACACATAGATCCAGCCAGTCCCCTCGCCCTTTTGACCTTGAGTTCTGCACATGAACTTGACTCAGCTGTCATGTCAACTCACAGTCCTGCCCTGTTTACACACACACACACACACACACACACACACACACAAACACCGCCTGTTCCAACTTGGAAAGCTGGCTGACAGCTGTGCTTTAAATGAACAAAGGGAGTGTGCCAGTGAGTTGACACTATGTGGACACACACATTATCTCTTTATCTCTCTCTCTCTTCTTTCCTTTTCTAGCTCTCTTATTCAAAATCAAGTTGCTCTTACTTGCTGTTAATGATATGTGCTGGCATTCTATGTAAAGTTGTGCCACAGCAACATGAATCTGAGCCACTCTCTTTTCCTTTAGATGTGTTGGTGTGGACCAACGAGCAGGTGATCCACTGGGTCCTGTCCATTGGTTTGAGGGAGTATAGCGGCAACCTGTTGGAGAGCGGCGTACACGGATCGCTCATCGCACTGGATGAGACCTTCGACTACAGCAGCCTAGCGCTCATCCTGCAGATCCCTATGCAGAACACACAGGTGGTTATAGAGGAACAGTTTACACACACTATGCAATGATTGAACTGATTTGAATGGGAGAAAGATATCAAGTGTTTTATGATGAATTATCTGTATAGAATATTACCCTAAATTTGTACCAATACATTTTGTTTCATTTTGTGTCATAATACCCCACACGTTGAACACTTTTTTCCCACTACTGTAAGCTCATGGCAGGCCTTTTGGCTTCTCTGCAACCTGTCCATCTTCCAACAGTTAAGTTGTTGAGGTTTTTACAAGATTGATTGATTTACTTTTTAGTGACTCAGTGGTTTGTTTGCAGTCAGCCTTTTCTTCTACTGCTAGCTACATGGTGCCAACATCTCCTTCTGCTTCAGATTCTGTATTAGTCTTTGATGAAAAGGGCTCTGTTGTTCTCGCTTTGAATTCACTTGAAAGAATTTTCTGGTCCCAGGCTTCAGTACAGATTACTTGCCCACAGTTTTATATTCACATATGAATAAGACATGAAGGTTTCTCCTATTTATCAGAGGGATTGTTTTTAATTTTACTGGTATTTCAAGAGCTTTCACTGACATTTTGCCATCAGCTCCTGTTCATGTCTGATCACTTCCCTTTGTCTCCTGCTCACAGAGGTTGTGTGTGCTGTTTTTCAGGCACGGCAGGTTCTGGAGAGGGAGTTCAACAACCTGTTAGCCTTGGGGACAGACCGTCGACTAGAGGAGGTGACCTCTCAAGCGGCTGCTTTGATCAAATACAGTGTTGTTAAAGAAGGGCCACTTGTCTGACCTTGTTTTTCTCCCTGTCCCTGTAGAGTGGGGATGACAAGTCATTTCGACGCTCTCCATCGTGGCGCAAGAGGTTTCGGGCACGTGAGGGAGGGGCGGGGCTGGGGATGATGGCGGGTTCCATGGAAACACTGCCTGCTGGCTTCCGTATGCCCTCCATGTCCATGCCACCCTCTGTGAATTTGATGCCCAAGAAACAGCTCCAGCCTGAAGGTGTGTTACAATACTAACCAAACTCGTCTACCTCAGCCTATGTATTTGTGTATCTATGTGCTTCTTTCTGCTTGTCCTGACTAACAAACTGCATGGTGTGTCCTCTATGTCCTGCTGTACACAAACCTCTCTGTGCCACGTCCACTCAAGCTCCTCCCCCGGCGCCCCCGAGACTCGACCCCTCGGCTGTGCGGACCTATTCATGCTAACTTCTCTCTGCTTACTAACAGGAGCGCTAATGCTAACAGGTAAGCTAACAAAACACTACCTGAAACTGCTGAACTTACAGGTCAGTGCGCTTTTAACCAGCATTGCCCAGCTGTGTGGCATGAAGCAGGAATGTGTCACTAACTTTACAGTTCCAGGCTAAAGTACTGATATGTGTATCTGGCTGATTTGAGCCTTTTAGTAAACAATGTGAAAAGTGTTGCTCGAAGTGACAAACCCACTGACAGCAAGATGCCAGTCTCAGATATTGGTAGAGACCAAAAGAGAGACAGAAGGAGAGTAAATGTGGGACTTCATCCAGATACAAACGTGACCCCTAATGAATGCTAATGTTGCTTTGTGTCTGCTGGAAGTATTTGCTAACACTTTTTTCCATAACAACTACAATAAGTGATCATGGTTCAATGTTGCAATTTAAATGAAAAACTCTATTAATGCAGATACATCTTGCAATACTGTATAATTTTATTAGTGTCAAGGACTCCCATGAAAAGACCAAACCAACAATGGACAAACTCACTGTTAGTTTTGGGATTTTCATGGAAATTAGAAAAATATAGAATAACATACGCCATTTCTTTTCCTTCACTTATTGTTTTGGTTCTTAAAATAAATTGCTCGGAATTAATTAACAGAATTTTAGTCAATGAAAATGATGTGATCAGACAGTCAATATGATAATACTGTATTATTGCTCAGCCCTTGTTTCTGGTTCATTAATTGCACTATTAGCAGGTGTAAGTGTTTAATGTCACAAGATGTTTAGTGTTGTTTTACAGTGTCTACCCTGCAAAAACAATAAATAGAATTTTGCTATGAGAAAGGTATTGATTTTTGGCATTTATGGGCTATGTACATGTCAAAGTAAAACCAAGCAACAGACACAAACTCAGTCCTTTTTTCACTTCCTGTCTCACTTTCCTCACCTTTTTTCTCTCTTCCAGTGCATTCTCATTACCTATACGGACACATGCTTGCGGCCTTTTGAGAGTGATATGCCAAATCCGGAGAGGGAGTCCTGGGTGCAATCGAGGCGGGGATCTTCGCCCCTTTGCTGCCCGGCCTCACCTCCCACCTTTCACCTCTCACTTCTCCTTCGGACACGTGCAATACAGAGGTCAACTCTGACCTTTGAACTCTGAGAGTGCTCATTGGCTGTGCTCGCTGCTGTAAAAGGAGACTCATCCCTGTCTCTCCCAGTTTACCCCAGTGCTCCCAGTAGCCTTGTTGTTGTGGTGTTGTGCTCCTGCTCCCCTGGTCTCAGCTGTGGGTTCTTGTCCTGGTTCAAATCTCTCAACATGGCCAAGTCCAAACCAATCCTCCTGTGTCATCCCGTCCTAGGCAACACAAAAGTTGTTTTGTAAAAAAAGATTTCAAGGGATGGTGGCAAGTCGTTGATTTGGACTTAGGAATTATGAATACTTGTATAAATGGCAGATCCCACTGCACATTGCCCCTCTACCGGTTATGCAAGGTATTACTCATTTATCGTCTCTGTACATAAAATGGATGACTTATGTTTTTTATAGAAATATTATATATATATATATATATATATTGGAAATATATATGGAAAATAATATAATATCATTGCTGTATGAAACCCAATGCCCTGTATTCGATAGTGACTGTTCTCTCTCTCTCTTTCTCTTTCTTTCTCTTTCTCTTTCTCTCTGTGTCGGACCTTTGTGTGTCTTTTGCCGTATGCTGTAAGTGTGTGAATCGTTAGTGGGTGGGTCTCACTAAGGAGGGGGTGTGTTTCTACAAGGACTCTTCACAGGTTCATGGGTCCAATTTCAGACTTGTCTCTAGGCCTCTTCTCCTGTTCTTTCCTTTTTCCCTCCTCCTCTTTTGACACTATGTAGCTGTTATCTCTCCTCTCTTCGCCTCTCTCGCCTTCAGTATGACACTATGTAGCCTAGAATAGAGAGAATTCTTTAATATGAAGTTTGAGTCTGTGTCTGTGTGTGTGTGTGTGTGTGTCTGTGTGTGAGCAAACGAATCTCTCTGCTCGAGACTTGTAGAGAAGCTGCGTGTGAAAGGCCGACCCCAGCCATGTGACCATGACTTCTCTCTGTGGGTGGGTAGTGTGAACACTTTAGCTCCTCTCTGTTGACTCCTGACTTTCTCTCAAATCAAACCGTGAACTGCTGCTCAACATCAGCCAATGATATACACGTAAAACTGTTCAAAGTGACGGACTCGTCTAATCCTGCTCCGTCACCTCCCATTTCTTTGCCATGGAGACGTGCCAGTGAGCAGCCAGTACTCTCGGCCGACAAACTCCTCATCCAATGAGAACACAGCATATGAACCAGTGAAGTACTGGATGGGTGTCCAATCTTTTATTTTTTATTTTTTATTTCACAGTTTTTTCCAAGGTGTCTAAAAGGTGTAATGTGCTATGTGGCAGCTATGAGTACTGTGTCTTTATTCCAGGTGTGAAACAATGCTGACAAATCAAGATTTTATTATTTGGCTATTTAAAAAAGTGAACTGTATTTATGACACTATATAGACATAAGTAAAGCTGTTTTTTAAAGATTTGGATGTTGTGTTCCTTTTGAGGTTATTGCACTCAAAGAGTATCATTGGTAGTGAAGGACAATGACAAACAATGTATTGAAAATGGTCTTTATTGCAAGGATTGGACAGAAAATATCACTTTTCGGAACTTCTACAAATACACAACAATCTTAGTTATAAAAGTCAAAAATAAGTTAGCAAAAAATAAAAAATAAAATGGCAAAACCACTCTGTAGAAAAAGGGAACGTATTTACATCACTAGAATTCATAACCAGTTTAAATTAAGCAGATCTTGGTCAAAACTGCCATAGTACATATTGGCCCCACAAATAAACTTGTTTTTTTTAAGCATAAAAACACACACCAAAAGAATGAAAGATCAGGGAAAGGCTTTGAAAGGAGGAAAACTTAAATTAAGTAAGGAGAAAACCAGGCTTTATCATTCCTCTGTGGCTCTATCAGACTGGAGGCACGCCTAACAGAGATGCACTCTAGTAACTAAGGGTTGGGTTCATGCAGCAAAGTCCTTGAATCTCTAGTTCGACTAAGCTCCTGTGGCTCTGACAGGCATGTCTGGATGGTAGGATAAGGCAGGGAAAAAAGGGAATAAGGGCTCATTGTGAACAGGAGGAATTCAGTTTGGTTAGCGGACCCATAGATCAGCAGAGTTACAAGTCAAATGAATCACTACTTTTGCATTTTAGCCACTCAGATCAGTAGAGGTGAAAGAATGGGAATTCGGGATGTCAGCCTGCTTTGCCAATTGTCATTTTTCTTTTTGCCTGTGGCTCTCTGGTCTCTATGGTCCGCTGTGTGGAGGATCTATTTGGGAATGTCCACAGGAAAGGCCACAGCTCCGCCTGCCGCGGAGATGCCGTCCACGATGGATGTCAGGGCACGCATGTTCCCCTGCTCTGGAGAGTCAGCAGCACTCAGGAGATCTGCAAAAAGATCCACAGTCACACGTTCAGTATCTGAGCAAGGATATCTGTTTGTGTTGCCTTATGAGACGTGTGTGTGAACGGTACTCACCCTCGCTGCTGTAGCTCTGTGTGCACTGCTCAGGAGTGCTGCTCCACTCTGGGCTACTGCAGCAGGTGCTGCCCGAACTGGGCTCGCTTGACGACGACACCTGTTACCATGGAGATGAACACACAGAAGTTGCCATCAGTCACTCGCCACGCAGAAACACAGCACACACTACAGTGCAGTGAAATACCACACACATAAACCACCAGTAACTCCTTTGACTCCTCAAAGGAGGCAAATGAACATGACGAACACTATCTCAACATCAGAAAATATAAAGAAATCTTTCATTGGATAGAGGTAGTTGTCGTAAGATTATGGCCAGTGATTAAGTCAGTTTTTGCTGTATTTTGGTATATCTGTCTAATCAGTTTGTCATTGTCTCTTTGAACCATCCAATAGGCAACAGCTTTCTGTATTCTGACACGACAATGTTAAAAAACTGTATCAGTAATTGCAAGACAATGACAAGAAATGGGTCTGTATGTTTTATGACTAAATACTGTACATAGACGATACACCAGCCTGCTTCTCCAATTAAACCTCAAAACCTAGCCAGTGATCAGTTCTGCTTTAAGGTATGAGTTCATCAAAGTCACAAATTTTCAAGGAAAAAAAAAATTCCTTGACTTTCTTTTTTAAAATGTTTGACTATTAGTGTCGTTTTTTTCTTTACTTTTGTAACATCTTCTGTCTCCTTCCAACTAGTGCATTATGTCTTCTCCCTGTCTGCTCCTTCTGTTTGTCTTTTGGCTCTGTTCTCAGTGGTAAACACTTGACCTTCTTCTTTTAATCATCCCTCCTCTGTCCTACTCACTCTGGGCTGGGCCACGCTGGGTCGGTAGTGCAGTCCCTGCTGTCCGGTCTCAGTGTCCTGCTGGTTGAGGGAGGACACCAGGGCCTGAAGCCTTTCGATATACTGAATGGCACTCCGCAAGATCTCCACCTTGGGCAGCCTCTGGTTTGGGTTCATCAGGGTGCTCCTCTTGAGAGCATCGAAGGCCTCGTTCACCTTCTTCAGACGCCTCTTCTCCCTCATTGTGGCCGCTCTCCGACGATCCATGGTAACAGTCTTCCTCTTGCACAGCTTACAGGCCCAGGGCAGGCACTGGCCCGGGCAGTGGGGCTCTGAGTGAGGCGACAGGCTGGATGGAGAGGCTTTGTCCTCTGTTCCTGTCACCCCAACTCCAACGCCCCCAGACAGATTTCCACACAAGCCCATCATGGAGTTTCTATCCTGGTAGGCGCCTTGGTCATACGCCCCAGGCAGGCGAGAGGGGAAGTAGTTGTCCCCTCCCTCGTAGAAGCGCTGGTCAGGGAAGAAGTAAGGATTGGTCTCGAAAAGCTCCATACTGGACAACGCTGTGGTTTGAAAGGGGTCAAAGATTCCTGCTTCCCCTGTAACTGCTCTACTGTACGTGGTCTTCGGTCCTGCGCCTGGAGCGTGTGTGTCGGAGTGTAGGTGTGTGTGGCTGATTTGCCTGGGTTTGTGATGAGTGGAAGACGTGTGGAGAACAACTGGTGTGGAGCAACTGTAGGCTGGCATTTAAACCCCTCTGCCTGCTGCAGGATCACAGGGTTAAATTTAGCACGAGCCCCCAGAAACCTGACACGACGTTTAGCTGTTGCTGCACATCTACACATCTCTGTTGGGCCCTGTTCTCTTGGGCTTTAGGGCCCATTTTTGTGTGTGTGTGTGTGTGTGTGTGTGTGTGTGTGTGTGTGTGTGTGTGTGTGTGTGTGTGTGTGTGTGTGTGCGCCCTTGTGAGGGTCTGTCCGCTCGTGTGTCTTAAGAGGCCAGGACATGATCAAGTTGCTGTGGAAATGGGAGAGATAACCTCGGATCAAAGATGTTCGTCTTAATGAGCTAATCCCAGACTCGCGTCTCCCTCCATGACACCACACATGAAGTCCCTTGCCATTGGGGGTGGAGGAGGGGGACGGGCAGGAGAGACCGTCTGGAGACAGCTGTCACTTCTACTAGGAGCCAATGACATGCAATGACAAGAAGTTGTTTGACTCCTAGTTCTAATTGGCAAGGAAATGAGGCCAGAGATTGTTGTTTACTGAAAACTAGGCCACAGATAAAGGTTGATACTAAACATGTGAAAGCTTAGGTGACATAAAAGCTCATGCCATTGTCATCTCTTGATTTTATGTAACCACATTCATACCCTCTAAGATGATTGCACAGTGTGATGCAAGTGACCTATACTAGGCTGTCAGACATGCTGTGCAGGAAGTTTAGTTTAGTACAGTAAGTAGAGAACCAAGTTGACACTGACTCCGGTTATTCTCAGAAATCAAGTGACAATAATCACGCAGAGGTATGGCCTTTGTTGTCCTGACCTCCTCCAGTCAGTCACAGTGTTTGCCTGACCACCAGGTGTTAATCCTTCCAGGACATGTTTCACTTCATAGCTCACCAGCTAATTCGGACTGGCTTCCGCTAGCATGGACAAACAGCCAAAACACACACTTCTGAGAGCAGAGAAGTGGCCTGGAATGACAGGCATAGTGTGAAATGTGTTACATCTCTGTGTATCCTATGTCTCTACCATAGGTTTATCACAGTAATAAACATACCTGGCAGGAAATGATACTGAGGAACTGCTCTGTTTTGTGGCCCCACTACATAATGCGTGGAGGGGTATACTTGTATATTTGGCCAGTGACATAGTCAATAATGTCCATGGGACATTCGCCGCATGTTTTCCTTTCTCTTTCTCTGAATGTCTTTGCTTTCATCTTTCTAACAGAGAACATGACATACTAAAAACAATCTTTAAAAAAATTTAATTGCCTGTATCATAACACCAAAGGTTCATATACACTGTTAAAATTATTTTTCTCATGACGAAAAGACAATATTCTTTAAAGAAAAGGCAGTGAAAAGTAAAACATACAACAATAAATACTGTTTGTTCAATAATTAAGTGTGTATTAAGAGTGTAAAGAGAAATATAAAGCTATTTACTTTGAATTTAACCTTCAATCAGTAGATAAATAAAAACCTAATTTAAAAATAAAGTCTTTTATCATTCACTAGCTAATTTCCAACATTTCAAATCCTCTTCACCAGAGTAAAGTTCCTCGTGCTTACAGAGACAATGAGATGGACACAATCAGGAGAGGAATTGAGAGGACTGTGTGGCTAGCTAGCTTACCTGAAAACTCCAGTGCCAATGCACATAATAAATACATATACTGAGTACTGCTGTAGCATTGCTAAACTCTTAGTCACAGTAGCTAACACATTTTAGTTTTGCTGTAGAGTTACAGCAATGTAATTTTAAATTGAACTGTGAAATTAGAAAATAAATTTTAAGTACAGAGGTACATAGACATCAGTAAATGTATGTTTAGAATAATCTGATTAGGCACCTGTGACAGCTTGAAAACCAGAGTGGCCATTTAGCAGTGTACAACACAGTGTTCACTTTTTCAGTTCTTTGTAATACAAACTCTCCTTTCTCAGAGTAATGCGCTTTCACTGTTGGACTAATAGTTGCCTCACATGACAAGCAGCTTGGACTGTTTTATCTGACATATACAGCATTATTAATAAGTGTCTGACATTTTAATATGCCATGTTAGAAAAAGCCCAGGTGTAATTAATAACTCTAATTAGGGGTGCATTTCTTTAAGTGTGTCAGTTTCAGGGTCATGGTATGGTCCATGCTGCCTCAGTGGGATAGTTTACTGGCACAACTAAAAAGAACAGAGCTGTAATCACTAGAACTAATTACACTTGGGCTTTCCTGCTATTACAAGTTTAAATGTCTGTTAAATGTCTTTTAGAGTGAGCTCACATCTTAATGGGACTCTTAATTCGTACTTTATTAAAGGCAGGTGCGCAGGAAGCCTTAATATATGTAAAAATTTTCCATGCTGTCTGCTACAGGTACCAAGTTAGAGTGATTAAGCTGCAGGATATTTGCAAGAAAAAGCCACTCCATATTTTAAATTCTTCACTATTCTATACTTATATTTCTTATTCTGTACTTGTGTAGACCTGTACTATACCTATCCTTGCCTATTTTTTACTTATATTTGATTAACAATTAAGTTACAATTACATTTAGACTAGAATTATGGGTTGTTTAAGATCTTTTGCCTGTCAGCAGTGAGTGAAACTATCCCACTCAATGTAAAATGAAATGACTTGTTGATACAGACAGAAGGTTCAGCACTGGGACTGGATGCCAGACATTGATCTGGCAGGACTGGCTGGTGGATTGTGGTCTAGTCCTGGGCTTTGGGCTGGGGTTTGGGGTTGAGGCAGAGTACAAACAACAGTTTGCAGAGAGTCGAGGCTTGGCACAGGGCTGCGGTGGGCTGTCAGGTTAGCCTGTGATGGATAGTCACTGATGGTGGAGTGAGTACAAAGACGCCTGTGTTGCTCTCAAGGGTACAGCAGGGAGGGGGTCCGCAGTGTGTCAGAGTCACTCATAACCCTCTGTCATCTTAACCCATTGTCAGCAGAACTAGAGAACTCTGTGTGTGTGTGTGTGTGTGTGTATGTGTGTGTTTTGTAGTAGATTCGGGCACACACTGGTGTCTTGCTTGAAGAACAAGTCCCCTCTCAGCATTTTGAAGAGAACACTTGGGATGCAGTAAACCAGAGGAGATCGGGTGTTTACTTACTGTTTGGAGGTACTGTACATGCTGCATCTTCCATCCCAAATTCAGTCAGATGAAGCCCAGTGAAGGAGTCAAACTAGACAAACTAAATACAATCAAATATTTACTCCAGTACAATTAAAAATAACATATATTTTAATATATATAATCACATTTAAATTTATTCTGAAGAGCGCCTCTTTTGAAGGAACAAGTAAAGATCACAGAGAAACCAAATTAAGAGCAATACACGTTCAGTTGCTCTAAGGCAGTTTGAAATAAAATCTCAAGTTAAAAAAACATTTTGTATGAGTGCGCATGTGTGTTTGTGTCCCCACATATGTGTGTTTATGTACTGCATGTATGCTGGTGTTTGTGTGTATGTGGCAAGAATTGCCCTGTCACTGGCAACACTGGTCCACTTCTCCTCAGTGACAAGCAGCAGCACATTGTGGGACAGCTGAGCAGCAGGCAGGAGGGGGGAGGGATCAGTCCTCCTCACCCCAGGTTAGCCTCAAGATCATCACTGACCTGGAGGACTGTCATCTGAGCGCAGTCGGGAAATCTCAGCTATGTAAGAGGAGAATAGCATAACAACAGTGAAGGAGTGTTGATTAAAAGGTGGATAAACATAGGCCTCTATCCAGCGAGATACAATTTAATATACAATAAGTACAAAAGTAGACGATAAATGGAATAGATGTTTGTCGATGCTTTATTTTACATGTCCTATGTTTTCTTAATGATAATCTAAGAGATTTACATGAAATAACTATATAATGATTATATGGAAAATTCTAAGACAGTTATGTGAGTTTTGTTAGTTGTGTTGAGTTTAGAAGTAGTAGTTGTTTTCCAGTGAAATGTCCTAAAGCTAAAATCTTAATTTGGTGGAAAAGCTGACGGAGATTTATTTAAACACAAGTAAATATTATTTTATCATCTGAAACCGTATAATTATATGCTTGTCTGTCGACAAAGTTGACATTTTTCTGTTTTCAGCAGCGTTTTCCTGTTGCGCCCTAATGAAAGTACTCTTTAGGTTAGCCAGCAGTTATTTGGAATTAATTAATTGGAAAAGTACCAATTGAGCATTGTCTCCATATTGTTTCTGTAGGTATGCATTGTTCTGTTTGAAGTCTGGACTCATGGGTGTGACAGTGTTATGGACTGGTTAAGTCCCTTTTGGAAAGGACATGGTCACCATAGAGACAGCAACAGATGCCTGTGTGTCGCCTCAGAGACTGTTTCTTTACTGTCGCCATGATAACTGCACATCCATTACTGAACCCTTTGATATCAGTTCATACAGCAAAGCTCTGTTCTTTCAAATTATGGGTATTTTTGTTCTGCCTTCGCAACATTAATGGTGAAAGATGACAAAGCAGTGCGCTCCAATGAAAGCACATCAATCACCTGCCAACTCTGAAGCAAATGAATGGGAGCTGATTACTACTCTACTCTGCCTCTCTATTTCTGTTGAGTAATGAACCTTACATCAGCTGCAGAGCTGTACCATTTGACTGATGTCTAAAGGTGATGTGACACTACTACGGCCCAGCTAATCATCGGGAGAATACTCCCATTCATTGCTGTTCAGAATGAAGTGCCCCCACCTGTGTTTTCACAGGGCTCTGGAGGCCTGGAGAAAGCTTTCTAAGTCAGGGGGGAAACAGTAGTTCTGTAGCCCAGCCATGCTGCTGCTCACTGGGGCTTTTATCGCAGAGTAATCCCCCTACAACAAACAGAATGGCCGGCATGTGCATACGCAGCTGTCGCAGTCTTAGTGCAAGTGGTGTCATGTTAAATCACAGGAATGGACTGAGCCTCTGAGCCATGCAATGCCCTTCCCTTCACTGGCATCCCCCTCACTGCGAGGCTCCAGCACACATGGACAAACACACATACATACTCATACCTACTGTACATACATAACCCACTTCCCACAAACATAGCAGCACAGCACATGGTAGCCTTAAAGCTATTCTCTGTAAATAACTGGTGCTCCACTGTCACAAACAACCAGATTATTGGCATGACACGTATTCCAATAATGCCACAGGTTGTGTGATAACTCCAAGTAGGAATCACACGCCACAAAACAAAACATCTTTTTGAGACTGCCAGTATTACTTGAGTTAATCAGAAAGGTATCTGACAGGGCGAAGCCAGGCCCTCATAAAATCCATCCTGTTTAATTTGATGGCAATTTACACCTAAACGTTGCCCAAGTGTAAACCACAATCCGCATAACTCCTCTAGGAGACACGGCCGAATCCTGTCTGAGGCCAGCGATGTGTATGCGACTGCAGTGTTGTGAGATCTGAGTGGCTGGCTATGCAGAAACTTTTCCCTGATCCCAGTCAGCCCAAGTTCCATATATCATCTTCCATATCTGGCCTCCTGCTGTGGGTACAAGGAAAGACAATGTTTCTCCTCTAATTTCATCTTAAATGTGTCACATCTCGGTCGTTACCAGTTTTCCCCCCACTATATCTACTCTTATTTTGAAATTTTACTTTAGGCCTTTTTCCATATCCCTATCTTTGTTTTTCTCTGGCACCACTGACCTTCTCCCATGTCACCAATGAGACAAATTTAGCGGCCTGGTTTCTGGAGTGACCAAATAGTCGGACACAACAGAGGGAAAGTGTGTGTGTGTGTGCACGGAGGTGGGAATGAAAGGTCCTGGCCACACAGATACAGTTACAGATATCCAGACACACAACCAGAAGAAAGCAAAGGAGGGTAAACAGGTCGAGGCTCGCTGTCCTGGAGGTATGCAGATGAAGGTCGCAGGAATAGTGTGACAGAGAAATACTATATTTATAAAGGTGCTTCAAAAGTACAAGAACAAAATAAAACAAATTAAAGTTAGTAGGATCAATAAAATGATCAGAAGTATGGGAGAGATGTTCAACTATAGGTTCTATCCTAACTATTTTCCCTCTAGGAAGTATTGCTTACGCCATAGGGGATAAACGGAGAATGTGTTAAGTTATTCTGGGATGTTGGGATGGAGGCGCTGTCGCCATGGAAACACGCAGATCCCCTACCACTCCCAGGGCCGGAGCTGTCAAGCTCCGGGTGCCACGTCACCAGGGATGTTATGCCATTCTCCGTCTCTACGCTCTGTGACGTGCCGGATGCCACAGACAAAGCAGTTTGACATTCTTGAATTAGATGCAGAGTGAGGGAAAGCATTTTAGTATGGCTGTTAGGAGCACTTAATACTGTGGTGCAAATCACAGGGAGGACAGAAACACCTAACTGCCTCCACACTATGTGATCTGCCAGAGGTGGAATGTGCTTTATTTAATACTGCGCTTGAGTAGATATTAAACCGATTTACTTTTTTATGTTATTCTACTCCACTAAAATTTAGAGGGAAATATTTTACAGTAGTACTGCACAAATTAAGATTTACTTCAAAATATTTCATAAAATCTGATGCATTTGCTGTAGATAAAACTGCCCAAGATTATATAATCAATAACACGAATTACTTAAATGCAGGGCTTATATTTGTAATAAAGTATTTGTTGAGTATTGGTACACTTTAGTAATGGATCCCAATTCTAGTTGTTTATAAACAGTGATCACGCACTGCTTCTCGTAACTTTTTTTTGCCTTCACTTGTATGAAAGTACTGATAAAATGTAAACGTCTGTACAAGCTATTCTGCGGGCTTCAGTGGGGCTAATGTGGTTTCAGATGGAGAGCTTCACAGGGGACTTTCCACACTCAGGGAACATTCCCTATTGAGTAATCTAAATCTAAATAACATCCTGGGGTAACATAGCTGCAGTATTTATGCACAAGTTAGATAGCAGCAGAGTTAGAGCGACATATACTGCAGACGGTAGGGCCTCCATCCCACTTTTGGACAAGAGGACAAAAATAAGGCGGACACGGGGAAGTAGAACAGTGAGTAAGCAGAGGAGAGTTGCAGGTGCTGGCACCCAGTCAAGGAGGAGAGGACACACAACAGCTGTCCTGTCATACAATGACTTATTCTTGGTTCAAAACACACACACACACACACACACACACACACACACACAGCTCTCTTCACATCAACTGGCCCACTGGTCAGCAAGTGAACTTACTGAAACAATTAACTCCCAACTCATTATTGCTGTACAAAACAAATGATTTTATTAATGACAAGTAGAAAAAAAAACCCAACTATATTAGCTGTACCATTTCTGAGCACACTATAGTCTTAATGTCAATAATTGCAACAATTAAGTCTGTCATTTCGAACCAGCATAATTGGTATAATATGTGCTATTTTCATGAGGTCCGTATTCTAGAGGAAGTTTGTTTCACTCAATCCACAATGATGGCAATAAATACAACAGGCTACATTAATCATTTATAGCTTTTATATAGCTAATATAGCTTTCAAACCAGCTCAGTGCTGGCTCTAGTCACGACAGGAGGCATGCTCTATATATGCATTACATGTTATTACTGGTGCTCTACAGCTTCTGTGGGCACCAGATACACTACTGAAACTTCTCCCCACCTGCTGGCAGAAAGATTAAGCGCAAGTAAAGAGCAGATCAAAGAACTGTGACGTTCCCTCTACGCTAAGCAGAGCAAAGAGTTAAATGCTTACTGTCTTACTTGGGAGCACTGTTGAGCATTCTGCATTTGTAGACAGCTCTCTCACTCACACTCACACACACACACACACAGGAAGTAAATCATATCTACGCGCTCCAGCGAGACAATCTTCAAATAATGCATAAACAAATAAAATCTATAATATACAAATTAAAATTCAACATCATTACATGGCAGTGTAACGCTTCACTCAAACCCTCCCTAACTCCAAGTCAGTTCTACACTCATGGTACATTTGGTAACCTCCTATTGCCTTACACACACTGTACATCTTTTGGAGACAAAAAAAAATTGCTGTAAATTACACATTAGAACTCTGTAACAAATGCAGCCTTGTTCTGCTTCATTAGAGGTGGTCATCTAAACGATTAAAACAGATTCATAAATAAATTAAATACAAAATAAACAGAATTTGTTCATTTATCGTAAGTTCAGGAAAGGGTGTAAAGTACCCTTTCCCAAATGATAACAGTTAAACATTAACAATTACATTACTTTACTTACTGTAATATAACCGTCATCAGAGGCTTGGCAATTTTGAATTGAATACATAAACATCAAATGACTACCCAGAGAAAATTACAGTAAATACTTCAGCTGTGCATTCTCAAGCAGGTTAAAGTTAAGTCTACATTTTAAAATACTATGTTGACAGAAAAAGGACTTAAGTCACCACATTTGTATTTTACATTCACTTATGCTGAGAGAACGTTTTTCTTTTCCTTGTAAAGAAAAGCTTAGGAGGATACTTTCATGGAGCTGCTGCTGTTGATAACAAAATCACAGTTAAGACTCTTTCCTGTTCTTCCTTCAATCTTGTCTTCATAACTCAAATCTCAGAGCCACATTACCTAAGAGGATACAAAAAGAGTGAAGACAACAAAATAGTCTAGAAGATGGTTAAAGAAATATTCTTGCAGTTACATACCTGCACTGATTTTTCCCATTTTTGCCGTGACGCCTGAAGGGAATCTACGGAGAAAGAAAATCAAACCAAACTACAAGAACAAGGCAAGCAATACTTTTAAAATGGCACCATTCAAGAAAGGCAAAAACCAATGAACGAAATTCACATAGCCTGAAAAACAAGCCTTCATGAAGACAAATAATAGCTCACACAAGCTGCACTCCTATGTGATCTAATAAATAAATAAATAAATACTTTTGCTTTTATATGTCCCTTATTTAAGTATGGCACCAAAACAAGCATTTGGTATAACAAACTCGTGTTTCATCCAACAATACTTCAGAGGCAGTGTGATGCAAAATAAACCATGCAACCCAGAGCAAGATTCACCAAGTGCTATAGTCTGTGTAGATTTGAATATAAGGTGCACGTTTTGTGTGTGTGTGTGTGTCTACGAGCGTGTGTACCAGAGTGCATGCAGCTGTATGGTCGAAAGTGTGGTGTATTTTTTTTGTTGTTTAGGTCCCCAGAGCCTGACACATGTGTGCATGTGCTTTTTAAAGAATGAATATCTTAATAACTTTCTGAATAATCTTCCCACAGCCTGGACAAGGAGCCTGGAACTTGTGCAGCCTCCTTGCACACGGGAAACAGGTTAGCAGGTGAGCTGTACGTCCATGTATTATATTTCCATTGCGTGGTCGCACTCGACAGAGCTTGCAAGGCTCCAACAGTGCCTCAGGCCTAACTTCTTCAACCTCCATGCCAAGATTTTCCTGACTCTCCCCACTTGAGAGCTGCTCATCCTTTTGGAATCTGGAGGGCCAAGGCCCCTTGCCTTTCCCTGTAATCATAGTGGGCAGTGGTCGGTCAGCTGTGGAGTGAGAAGGCAGGATGACCGGGTCAGAAACTGTCCTGCTGCAGTCTGGGACATCAATGCCTGTGTCGCTGTCATCTTCCTCATCATGGGTGGTGAGAGAGCTGCATGCTGGGATGTCAGGAACAGAAAGGGAATGGGCGAGTCGGGGGACATCTTTATACCAGTTCTTTCGTAGAGCCCAGCAGCGAACACAGTACCTCTGGAGAGGTGTGTTATACTTCCTGCACTCTGTGCACTGCCACGCATCCTGAGGGATCAGGTGGATAAAAAGTCACACAGCTGCATTTTTTCAGTTTTTATCTACAACAGCCGAAAACTATAACACACAGTGACAAAAAGAAAAAGAAATTAATAAAGATTCAAACCTGTGTGGAGATCTCTGTATCAGTGTCATCGCTCAGACACTGCGAGTCTTCATCTGGCTCCTCCTGCATCTGGATATATGTACAAGACATTTGATCAAACGTCTCATAACATTATCCTCACGCTCACCAGTCATTTATTTCTCTTACAAATAAAAATCTGAATCATTACACAATTTTTTTTGGCTGGTATGAGCGTGACTGGAACCAACGAAGACAAAGTCCTAAACACACTCTTACCTCTCGATCTGTTTTCTCCTCCTTCCCTCCTCCATCATCGTCCTCAGGCAGAGCCTCCCCTTCTCCTCCGCTGCCTTCCTCCAGTGCAGCCTCTTTCATCTCCACGCTCACCTGTTCACTGCCGCCCTCGGTCAGGAACCAGAGGTCGTCGGTGGTGTCCGACACGATGGCCGTGTCCTCCTCCTGTGCAGGAGACAGCTGACACATCAGTCAGACCACCACTGTGACAATCCAATTTATGCCATTTGCCAACAAGTAATTATTAATTAAGCTTGAACCGGCTGTGTTCTAACAACACATGAGGTTTCTTACTTGGTTTGTGTGGATGTCAGTGGAGCCATTGCTCCTGCGGCTGTAGTTACTACGGAGATTACCCAGAAACCACCAGGGTAGGCCAGAGAGGTCCCACTCATCCAGAGTAACATCCAGTTTGGGACGTTTGCAGGCTGACCGTGGCAGGCCTTCGAGGGAGTCTGGAGAGATTTGGAACAGTTAAATTCAGCATTTTGATCAGGTCTCACCCTGAGCATACAACAGCCTGCTTACCGTCGTCTGGCTCCCGGGGCCGTCTCTGGGAGGGGGTCTGCAGGAGAGGCCCATCACTGCAAGCCTCCAGTCCTGCTTTGACCACACCTCCACATATCTACACAGGGAGGAAGGACAAAAATTAGAACACAGAGCCGTAACTGGGCACTTGGACGACTCGCAGCTCCTTTTCAAGATGGCCTATGGGCATGGGGTGGTGGACCAGGGAACAAGGGGCTGGGCAATTAGGGTACGGGCCAGTGGGGAGGGAGGTCAAAACAAATTTATGGACCAAAACAGTGTGGTGGGTAAAACAACAAGACTGATAGAGAAAGGGAAGGTAGGAAAGCCAGTGAACTAATTAGATGAAACTAGTGAGTCAAAGCTTTAAAGGAAAATCAATCAACAGTTTTGATATGTAGTATGTGTAAACTAAATCATAGAAGTAATGACCTATTCTACAAAATGATCAATAGTTAGAGTAGTGAGAAAGGAATCAGAAGCAGATTTAAAGAGAATGCGCGGGCATTTAATGTCAACCACTGCTTACTATTAATCACAGCTGATGGATGAAACATATTTTAAAATATTGCAAGTATGATCCGATCTTGAATTTGATAGCAAACTGGAGTTGATTTAACAAAGGCAGCAACTGGAAATACAGCAACTACCTTGAGCTCTGTGTCTGTGAAAACAGAAAAAAAACTGAGAATGTTAAGATGTCTTGCACACAAGTGGGCCCTCTCAGGAGGTGCTTCAAGGTGGATTTTGGAGGGAATCGGAAAGAAGGGTGTAGGAACACAGGGATGGGTGGAGAGGTTTAGGATTATTGTTAGGCCTGTGGCTGGATTAGGAGCTGCGATCATCCATTTCGGAGCAGAGAAGAGAACTCTGAGACAGACAGAGAGAGTGACTCTGCCCCCCCATCCACTGGGTGGTGCTGGTGGATCACAAAAGTGTGCTTTATCTACCACCAGACCAACACCAAGGATGGGGTTGTACAGAGACGGTGCCACTCTGTACAAATGCACACCAACGAAGACAGCAGCCCTCGCCTCCCCCTCCTCATTACACACAAGGAGACAGCAGCTCACATTATAGTCTTTGTGATTTGGTGCTACACCAAGGCCTGCTGGTCTCAATCCAGCACTGTGATCAGAGCATATTACGTCTTTTAACAAAAAGGTATTATCTTTTAGCAGCTGTCAGTCCTGTCCCTTTGTATACAGAAGTGTTGTGTGTAGCGAGGTGAGAAAGGTTGGGGGTCTCTGTTTCTCCTGAGCACCATGCTTCGGCTTTACCTGACCACGATCCTCCACTCCGCCCTCTACACATTCACGGCCCACAGAAAGATTCTCTGCAGCGTCTGCATTTCAGATGAGACACAGTAACAGAAAAAGGACACCCCCACCCTTTAATTATAGCATGATACACTCTCTCACTAAGGCCTTCTTCTGCGGCTTTGTAGGACAAGCTGGGAAATGGTCTTCTTCTGGTCCCCGCATCCCCAAGAGATGCACAAACTATCACAAGCACTCAGTGTATGCAAAAAGCAAGCTGATTTTAGAATATACATCGAATACGACAATTCAATTTCAAGTCATCACAAATTATATTCACATATTGCTTGTCCTTTGATGATGCCCCCTGACAGAAAAATTATTTTACATTTTTTTTAAAATTTATAAAAGACTTAAATGACTGTTTCACTTACCAGAACAACCAAGCACAACTAAGTATTTCTTGAGCATTTCATACACCGGGCTGTAAAATGAGAATATAAGAGTTTAAAATGGGCTTCTTTATTTTAAACATAAAACTTTAGACATATGGCTCATCATTACTTGTGTGTTAACTACTTTTGGTGAGGGTTCATACCTCGGATTTTTAACAGAGAAGCTCTCCACCTCCAGCAGCTCTCCCAAAGGGTCATCCTGGCAGTGGACTATGTGTTGCCTCTGTTTGTCATACAGCTGCTTCCCCATGATGTACTGACCCAAGTAGTGCATCACCTACACAAAATACTGGACATTAGATATCACAAGCACCTACAGGGTACATTCATACATACAGGAAGCCAGTATAAATGACTACTGAACCCTGGAATGACCATTTCTGAAGGAGCAACTTGGGAGGAGGAGCCAGTAAAAAAGGCTCACAAACATCCTTGACATTTCACCTGACAGCTCACCTCTTTGAGTGTGAAGACTTCTTCCTGGGCTCCGGCAACACGCAGAATCTGCAGGAGAGGGGCTTTTGGTTGTACCTGGGTGAAGAAAAAGTACAAATGCTTAGCATGAAATATGAATTATATCTGTAATGTTGTGATATTTGTACAGGCACAGTAGCAGTCATAGTTTTTGTTTAATTGTACCTGATTTCCCTCTCCAGGTAGTGTCCTGCATGCTGAGCTTGATGCCAGAGGCTGGGCTGATAGGGAGCTCATAGTAAAGTCTGAAATACAAAATTGTCACATGTAAGATAAACCTGCCTTCATATTCCCGATCAATCATCATCGCATAACGCTGGTGTCTTCAACAATACCAACGCCCACGAGGTCAAAGCAACTTAACAATGTGAGCCTGTCTTATGTGAAATCTTACATTTAATGTCTACGAGGCCAAAACAATCTAGCAATGGCAAATCTCTTCGGCCTAATTTGTTTAAAGCTGAACAGCTTTTGCCAAAATAAGCTTACAGACAGCTGCGTGGATGGAGTCGTTACACCGCGCTAGCATTACTTTCCCTTTCGCGACTCAGCTAACGTTAGTGTCTTCAAATAACAAGGCCAAAAGCCCTGCAAGCCCAGCTAGCGCATATTTTGCTAAGCAGAGATAGTCTTTGTACAAACTTTTCACACTTGCAACCATTACTAGCTAATGGCTCGTGAACTGGACCACCTAGGTGCCATTGGCATGTGACAAATCTGCTCTCGTTACTAGCAAACGTGCTAGTTAACGTAACGACAGGGCTAACGTTAGCTAACGTTAGCTATTTCCTGAACAATAGGTTGGTTGAAAATGACCTCACCGTGATGACTTGACCTTAGCTGCTACATTGCTCCACTGTCGCTTTAACAACTAGGTTAGCCGACATCTTATAAATATATATAGCTAGTAAACGTAGGGTCTTCAACAGTGGCTTAGCTCACTCTAACAGGTAGACAGTTAGCTGAACTACAGATTCAAAATGATGAATATGGCTACACAGCTTCCGGATGCACGGCTATACTGGCCAAGACTGTAGCGCCCCCTACTGTTGGATTAATAGCACGGCGGCATCATGGGCTTTAGTGATCAAACACTGATTTATTCCATACAATAATAATAATATTTAAAAAACTAAGTTGTTTAACACGTTGTTTGTGTGATTAGATGTGAATACCAGGAAATAAAAGCTGAAATTCTGAACTCTTGTCTCATACTCATCTTTTGATCTCAAACCCAAATGTCTTCATTGAACAACAAAAACAAAGGAATTTGCCTTACTGTTTCAATACTTTTGGAGGAGACTGTGTGTGTGTGTGTGTGTGTGTGTGTGTGTGTGTGTGTGAGACAGCGGTGGATGAAGTAATCAGATCCTTTACTTAAGTAAAAGTACTAATACCACACTGTACTCACTCTGTTATACTTAATTATTATCTGTAATTATAGTAGTAGTATAATCAGGAAAATGTACGTTTTTTTAAATCGAAATCTTTATTTCGAACATGCAAGAGAAAGTATAAAAAATAAAACAATGTTTTAAAAAATAGGAGAAAAAACAGATGAGCAGCAAAAGTACCCTTCTTTCCTGTGTTAACATACTTCTATCACATGTTGCCAGTTCATTTTTAATCTAATAATCGTGCCAGCTGTAGTTGTATAAAATGTTAGTGGTAAATGCTACTTTACTTTATAAAAAAAAAACTAGGACTGGGCACGTTAACGCATTAATGAATTAACGCCGAAAAGTATTTTATCTCACGTTAACGCAGTTTTCTTAAAACTGAAAATTACCCACCCAAACAAGCAGCGGAGGAAGGCTTCAGCAGACTACCTTGTCACCTCTTTTCCGTTTTTCCACCCGCGATCCGTTAAGCAGGTGAGCCGCTTGCTTGTTAATGACGCAGCCTTTCAAACAACTGGAACAACCCAAACCAACATCTGCACTCTGTGTGTTTGAATGTAGACATCGTCCCAACCCTACTGAACATAGTATTTCTGCTGCTCCCTGATAATATATACCTTCTAATACGTGTTCAGAAAAAAAACAAAAAAACAAAACTGGACTCTGACGGTAACTTGTTTGAACAAGCTAGATAAAAGGTAATGCCCTGGCAGTGGCAAATAGCTTAGGTTTAATATTTGATTTGATTACATTAATGTTAGGTTATAGGTATAGGTTTAGGTAATATTTTATTGCTGCTGTGTAAAGGGAATACTGATGGTAAAAAGCACAAACCACATGTTATTGCACTTATGTGTATATAGCAGTACATTTAAATTACAAGTGCGCAATACACTACTTTACAATTCATTATTCAATTTTGTGTGTAACAATGCGATTAATCGCAAGAAAATCATGCGATAAATCGCCAGCACTAAAAAAACCATTTTGCATTAAGTCTTAAAGATATTAGATACATGTAGTGAAGTAAAAAGTACAATATTTCCCTCTAAGATGTGATGTAGTAGAAGTAGAAATTCCCTCAAATTTGCATTTAATTACGGTCCACCACTTTATGACATGTTGTAACTTTGACTCCAGTAAAGATATTGTGGGCTATTTTCTACTCGATTGGGCTATTATTATTTATTTTGCCAAATTAAGTTTTATGTTGTCCTCCATCCCTTGTTGGTGTTTATCATTTATGATTTTGGTATTTATGCAGGTATACATGTTGGTAGTCTATTTATGAATGCTTAATAAGCTGTTAATGAGATTTTGGTCAACAAGTCAAAGAGATTTGTCGCCAACTGCCAGCCAAAACAAATGGCTTAAAACAGATCTATATAGCATTTGTAAATTATTTATTATTAACCATTAATAAAGAGAGTAGTCAATATTTTGCTGACATTAGTAAACACTGATTTAGTAATATAAATCAGTATGTTCAGTAAGCAACTAAAGTAAAAACTTTTAATCAGCCTGTTCTAAAGTCATGTAAAGGTATCGTCACTGCTTGTTTCTGACCTTGGTATCACTGCATTGTCTTGTTGTGACTGCAGGAAGGAGGACATTGTGTTCTTGCACATTATTTCCCCCCTTCAAGGTTACAACAACATGAGCTGGCTCTATTTTTGCTGTGTACGTACTTTAACACTTTTATTTAGAGCAGCCTTTTCCATTAAGTATTATTCCATGTATAGAAATTGTGCATTAACAAAACCCAAACACAACTGAACTGATGTAAAAGAGAGTGTGATATTTTGTTTAATAAATGCAAACATTGTTATAAAACATCTGTGCTACAGAATAGTTTTAATGAAGATCACAATTCATGGCCCTAATACTTTACAAAAATGAGATGCACAAGGAGGCACAAATGCAAATTTTTCACAGATCTGTAGATACAGTGCAAAAACAAATCATTTATTCCAGTAAATAGCTTGGTTTGTTCTCACTGACAATTGTGTAAATAAAGAAGCATCAAGCACATGAATTTACTTTCATATCTGACTAAAGTCCACCCAACAGTCCTTGAGAATATGCCTCTACATCAAGCCAGTTTATTACAATAGCTTATTTGCTGGGATATTATTGACTCTGCTGGAGGAAACAAGAATTGGCCAGAAGCCCTACACATGTCAAAAGTTAAAGTTTTTACACTGCAGGTAACATAAATGGTAGCCAGCCAACATCTCACCCTGGATGAGAACAAAGACAATTTTCCTGCCTCGGCTGGACAATAAAGTTTATTCTTTTCTATTCTATCTCATCTAAACAATCGTCAACTGGGAGAAATGTAACTCAAATTAATGAAAAAAGTTTACCAGACCACCAGACAAAATCAATCTGAGGAATTGCAGAATTGCATCAATATATCGTAAGACTATCAATACTGGCTAATAGTAGCTTTACAAAGGCAGGATCAGTATAATTCTGGAAAAGTTTGTACTATTAATTATTATTATTTAGCTGACTGTGGACCAGCTGTTTTTTGACTGTTTTGTTTATTTCTGCTGTCATACTCATAACAGAAAAAAACCCACTTGATTATCTTGATAGTTATGCCTGCACCTGCACAGAGATCATTAAGACAAATGCATATTGGTATTGGCTGATATGATGGGAAAATATCAGCCAAATAAAAGTTCAAGTAAAGGGTTTGGGTACGCATTACCGCCATACTCGTATAATGCTGGGCTGAGGTTAGGTTTCGCCTCGACAACCTCACCTCTAAAATTAGACAACTAAACAATAAAAGTGCTTTGGCAATAATTCAAGTCTTTCATTTTCCCCAAACATACAGAAGATATTGGTTGTATGAAGCTGCAGTGTATAAAAAAATTGTTTTCTATCTTCACAACAATGGCAGGTCCTTTAACATTTATTTCAAAAGTTTCACATGGCACTAAAAATGTGAGACTAGCGTTTATTGCTTGGTGACTTCTTTTGTTGTTCTTATTAGTTTACATAATTTATCTGGTAGCTAATAATAGTTATACATTGGTCTCAAATAAGCACTAGTAATCACTAATTAGGCTTTCACTAAAAACTTCTTCAATATCAACTATCTAAAAACTATTTGTACTAATTTTTATGTTACATCTTAGCCCGACTCATCGATCAGTGTAAACTAATAATAACATTTGTTGACTTTTATGACTATAATATTGGACTGTTAAAATATAAGTAATTATTAGATATTAACAACTTTTAAAGGTGAAAGTGGCATGAAATAAGAAAGAAAAGTCTAGTCTAGTATTTAGCTATTGCTGTCTTATAAAAAGCAATTATAGTGTACGGAAAGATTCATATCTGAAGGGCATCACCTTACGGGATTCCATTAAAATTCTGAACCTGTAAAACCAGACTGTGTATGGCAAAAACAGAAACACTGCTGGTCAAAAAAAAAGTGACCACTGACATTAAAAAGAGGCACTACTGCTCTCAGTAGCTGCTATTAAAGTAAAAAGTGCTAGTTTCTCAATGTTTTTTCCGTCAGGCCCACACTTAATTATTTTAACGTCCTCTCACAGCGTTTTAATTTGTTTTTGGTCTTGGTATTTTACTACTTTTGACCTTAACCTCGTACTCCTTATTACTTTTTAAATGTGTACTTGTGTTTGTTTATATTGTGTATTTGGAAAGCACTTTGGGTCAACTCCTGTGGTGTTTAACTGTGCTACATGAATAAATGTGACTTGACTTGACCAATTTGTAAAGAACTTGTGACTAGCAAGTAACTCATAGTGACTAGTCTTTAAAAATGTCAAATTTTAGTGGCTGGTGAAACTGGCAAAATGAATGTCAAAATGGCTGCCATGCAGAACAGGACTGTATTTTAAGTTTTAAATTTATGAGTATGAAAACTACTTAATTGACAGCAGACATACGCTCGGAGCTAAAATACTGATTATTATTTTGTGTGTTCTGTTGTTTGGCTAACATTTTCTGTAAGCCTGTATATTTAAGTCGTCGCGTCTGTGCGTTGCTTCTGCAGCGCATCACGATATGAAAGACCTTCTTTTTTCTTTCTTCTCAGGTCTGCATGAAAGGAAACATAAAGAGCACAACAGAGCACATATTCAGACTCACTGGTCTTTACAGAACTCTTTGTGACAGGTACAACAAAAGCTCTCCAGGGACCCCAGAGGCTTTCTTCTGTTCTGTGCTGGGTTTGTCCATCTCCCCAAACAAATTTTTTGTAGGAGCCTCAACTGATACAAGGAAGCAATGTAAGTTGCTGCTGAGTCCTCCAGCCACCAGGGGATAGGGAGAAGTGAGAAGGAGATGTTAATCAGCATGTGGGAGCAACAGGAGCGCCCAGGCATCATGATAGACTGCGTTAAATTTAGTCTTTGAGTGGGGAAAAATGTCCACCTTATTCTAAGAGGTCCTGTGGGGAGACAAAAACATCACAAATGTGTTATTAATAATCACAAAACAATCAATAATCACTAAATCTAGGGCCTATTATACAATATCAGATACCTGATCTGAGTCTTCGTTGTACTGTGCTTTTCCTGTCTCCATGTAGTGAGAGTCAATATCATCGAC